ATATTAATGTTCAAACGGCTGAGCGGAATGCCGATGGTGAGCCGCTAAAAACACTCCGCAGGTAGGTGGAGATCATACAGAGAAGATTATTTATGATACTATACTAATTTTTTCCTAACACTTATTCTTCACAGCTATAGACTGTTTAACTATTCGTCTCCAGCGTTAGGTGTTCACATGGGTCTACGGCATCCAGGAAACGTCAAGGTTAATGATGTTATATACGTTGAGGACAAGTGATATTGAAGCTCTTTTACTTTTATATGTATACATTCTGCTTAAATTCACTTAAATCATATGCACATAATAAAAGTAAATAATTAGTTCATTTTCGAAGAATATTATTCATTATTCCATCTCTTGTACTATAATATAAATTTGAATACAGCTACTCGATTATGATTTGAAAAATTATCGCACAACATTTCGACCCCATATGGGTATATTGACTCGTGAGGAATTTATACTTGCACCTATTTAAAAATTAGGGCTTTGTTTAAATAATTTCTATACATAAATAACATTAGTTTGGAATACATTTTAAGAAGCATAGCAAATATTTGAGTATTTAATAATGGAGAACAATTTAAAACGATCACGCAATATGGTGCCAGGGTATTTCCTAGTCGAGCTCTCTACTTTACTTAACTCGTTATACCTGTTGCATTGCAAAGCCTGAATTGAAATACACAGTTTATTTTTCTTACTAGGCCTCTATTCACATTTGTATGCATGCATATGTATGTATGTATATATGTATAAGCCACACACAGAAACCTACAAAGCTCCATTATCATTGCTCTCTTTTATTTACTATAGCTCTTGATAGAGCTTTTGGGAACTTTTTTATTGAGCTGAAGCAACAAGTGTGACAGTGCGTCTTTCAGTTGATAAGTGGACGGACAAGATGAGTGCAAATCTTTCATGCAAGTAAACTGTTTAATAATATATTGATCAAGTGCCAACGTAAATGTATATAATATATTTACATATCTACAGTCAACAGCTATGGGCTTTCCAATAAAATGTTGATCGGCATGGGCGTCAGCCTGATTGCCGTAGGT